GACTATGGCATCACAGTCCTTTTTGATGCGATTCTAGTGTATAGCATGTATGAAAGGCTGTTGAGGACTGAACATTGGTTCTCTAATCAGATATTTCCTAAAATTAATGATTATTTTGTAAATCATATATTGTATTTCATTCAGGCAAACTTGATCTTGTTTGTGGGCTCAGTCACAAAGAGATGCTGGTACCATATGAAACTAAATTGGCACAACATTGGTACCAAACATGTCACGCTAGCTATCAGGAAGTGGGCTAAATAACACTCCAAAGTCAGGCAAAATTTTGGCATGGCCATTTTCAAAGATATCTGAATGAACCCCTCCAATTTACTGACATGCCCACTATATGCTAATCCCATGCAGTTTCTTGCACCCAGTATAAATGTGTCATTTGTTTCTAGTGTATTTGAATATTTATGTATACTTGGGTCACTAAACAGTATTAAAATCGCATTGGGTATGACTGGAAAGCTGAGACTCTTGTGGATTCAGTAAGCCCAATTATATTCATGTGTGATGATGCTGCATAGTAGCCTTGATATCCTAGTATAGCCTCATGAAACTATACAACCACAAACTAGAGACCAGGAGCATCCAGAGGAAGGATGGCTTTTCTAGCTCTATTGACAAGAAGGTCTTTTTCTAGCAATTTGTAGAATTTTGCACCTAGGAAATGGCTATCATATACTTCTATCATTCAATTATTCTTCAGGTTCACACCTCTCAGATGATGTATACTCCTTCTATGTGGCGCACTGTTGACCTACTATCTACCCCTAAAGATCTCCTGCCCCCCCAAAAACAAGATAAAATTTGGTCTAATATGGTAGGGAAGGGAGGACTGGTTTTAATGCAACAATAAACACTTATTAAAATATTTAAAATATATTAAATAGAGTTTGTACTCTGGATGAAATACAAGAGCAATGAATGGCCGTTGGACGGGATGGGACAATATACGATATTATCACGTATAACAATAAAAAAAACACTAAATAAATGTATCATGGTGAATTTCAATTAACGTGATAATTGTGAATCAGAATAATTGTGAATATCCTCACATGGCTTGATCTGAAAAGCTGTCTAGCTCGCCAGCATGCAGTCCCATATTGATTTCCTGAGTTATTTTAAACTAGGGGACAGGGGGGAGCCCGCATCTTTCCAGTCATTCCAAAATCCCGTCACCATGGCTGAAGGAGATGTGTGGAAATGCTCTGGATTCCAAAATAAATAACAGGGAGACATGGTGCAATAAGTATGTGTTTCTTAATAAAATGTAAGGTAAAGTGATTCCATTGAAGTATGAACTATATTTTCATGATTATCATGATAATATCATACATCGCAATGATTTTGGTCGACATAACCATGACATGAAACGTTCCTATTGTCTCATGCCTAATGGCGATGCATAAGCCTGCCATCAGAGAGGGAAAGATGTAATTATCATTTAAATGAGGAACTCCATACAAAGTTTCTTTAGAGGTCTTCATGAAAAATGCTTCTGATACATCTAATAAACCATAACCCCGTTCAGTACCATCTTCACTGTGTGTGAGAACATACCGAATTATTCGGTAATAAAGCTCAGTGAAGTAACAGCGCAAACAAGTTAGTCTTGAATAGCTGATACCAAAAAGATTGCACATTTTTGTACTTTGAAAAGAAGCTCATAACCTGTCGTTTTTACACACCTGATGGTACAATAAGCTAAGATCTAGTGATCAAAGATGGGTGATTTAATATTCAATAGCTCTGTCTTAACCAAATCTAACTAACATCACTGTTGTTAACACAACACAAATAAACACACTTCTGACTCTTCAAATGTTCATTTATTCTTTCTAGTTCATCATTTAAGTTCATAAAAAAACAGAATTCAAAAATATACTATTATTATTATTGACCACTAATTTCTTGGCTATAATTTAATTAATAATAATAATACTAATATAAATTTCCCATTATCAGACGATTGCGCATCCATAGTCTTCATCCTTGAAATTCATCTCTTGAGAAACCAAAACATGCTGTTTATAAAACAATTAATTAATTAATTAATTAATTAATTTTATGATGCACCACAAAGCAGCACAGAAAGTAATTCCTACCTGTGGCCATCAAACTGTACAACTTCTTCCCCAGAGTATCAAAACTCTGAGTCATTAGTCATTACCATCACTGGTGCTCAAATGTCTTTGGTTAATGTACAATAAATTGATTAAGGTGCAATACTCGGGTCAATGTACATTACACTGGATTATTCTGTCATTCTTCGTAATCATTTATAACTTCTGCAATACCACAATCTGTATTTTTTTGGGTTCATTGTTGTCCCTTGTGGTCGCTGGGGGGAAACTACCCAGTGCAACTGCAGTTCTCGCCTTCCAGCCTCAGGGGGGCACTGACCCCACTATGGCTTGGCACGTCAACAAAAGGCAAGACGACGAAAACGACTTGGGATAACGACACAAAGATGAGAAGATATGCTTCACCAGAAGTGCTTCCAAACAAAAATACTATTCGATATAACGTTATATGTATATTTATTAAGAATATTAGACTTAGCAATCACCGTTATATTAGCCCAGTCAAATAGTTCAACTTCAGTTTCCTAACTGTCCTAAAAGCCTTTACAAGTTAACGATACTCTTAATACCAGGCTTGATGTGGGTTTTTGGTTCTCTGTTAGCAGTAACAAATGTGGTTCACATTGGCTGTTTATGGCTTTAAAAAAAACACAACGTAGTCAAATTTAAGCAAATAATGCAAAAAAAAAGCACTATATAACCTGCTAGCTTAAAAGAGTTAGCATTAGCTTAAACATTAAAGTTAAGTCAACAGTTAGCTTTCATGACCAACACGGGCAACACTGTGCATCTATATGTATTATGACTGCTGATATTTACCCAAAGCCGTGCCTAGTTTGGTTGTGATCCATGTTTTTTCCACACAGTCTGTGCCCTCTGGTAAGTCCCAGTACCCCATTTCTGACTTAGCAAGGACACACTGACTGTAATTCTCGCGAGAAACGCATTCCTCGTATATTTTGGCAGCTGGCAACCCAGTCAATGGTGCGATACCGCCACCTACTGGAATGGAGTGGGTTTTTTGTGTTCTATATTTTTTACTTTAATTGAAGAAACATTTTTGGACAAAACAAATGTATGTCTCATAGGTGTTGTTTACAAGTCCAGGTTTTTTTTTTTGTATCAACTTTTTAAATGTTAAAGTGTTTGAAGGTATATGTTCCCTGGTAGATCACCTTGTGACGTGCCCCATGTACAAAGGCTGTCACAGCCAGTGGCCTGGGTTTGAGTCCAATCGTTTGTTGTATGTTATTCCCCCCACTTTCATCATCATCATTCTTATCTCTTTTCGGCTGCTGCTGTCAAATACAGCAGGGGTGTTTCCACACTTTTTTGACTGGGGTGGCACAAGTGGGGCACTTGTGCACAAGTTGGGGACTTCAAGAGATAATGAAGCCCCACTTCTGCTACCAACATAGATTTTGTATTTTTACAATAGTACTGTATGGACAGTTTCTCAGACTCCATCAATATGTTAAGTCAGGGATCTCAAACTCAAATTGGCTTGGGGCCACTGATGGCATTGTCATCTCGTAGAAGGGCCATTACAATAACATTTGAGTACTACAAGAAAGCATAACATTCTGATGCAAAAAAAATTATTTTGATATCATGTCATGGGCCTGAGGGAGGGGTTTGGAGCATCAGAAATGGCCCCCAGACTGGCAGTTTTAGATCCCTGTGTTAAGACAAAAACTCTAGGAGGAGTTAACCAAAAATATCTGTGGAGTGGAGGCTTCACTTAACATGTCTTCTATAATAGAGAGATGATAAGGTCCTGCTTGCTGCAACACATCAGTGACAGTATGTTGCCTGTTTTCTTTCATGGCCGTACAACCAGGGCATGTGTTAGTCAACAAGCCCAAATTCACCACACGGATACACAGCTTTAAAACACTTTATTAACTTAAGAGTCAGATTTTTTAAGAAGCATCTTCACTTGTGGTGAAACATAAAATAACTTATTTCTTCTTCCAGAAGCGGCTGTATTTGTCAGCTTTGAAGTCGTCTTCAAAGTGGAATGATGTCTCTTTTCTCGTCCTCTTCACTTCTCTTTTTTTCAGTCGAGCTCGACGTTCTTCTTCAGACAGAGTGGACAGATTGACTGCCATCTTTTAAAACACATAAAGAACACACCAATGAACTTACAAAACATGAAATATCAGTTAACATATTGACAAGTGCACTTTATTAATTTGTTGTTTGGGGTCTTGCAAGTCTGAAAAAATTACAATAATTTAGGGGCTTTCATCAATAATAAAGAGGACACAAAGACAATATTAGAGATGCTTCCATATGACTCTCCTGTTGATGTGCCCATTGGCCACCCACAACAAAGGGCCGTTTAAATGTGACCAAGGGAAACTCTGTTGTGCTCTTTAAAGGGGAACTTGGCAACTTTTTCAGCTTAATAAACCCGTTTAGAAATCATTTGGATGGTGAAATGGCCTGTTCCGGGGAAAATGGTGACC